CTTTTGCTAATGGAGAAACAGCACTTCACACAGCGATTCCTTCCTACTGTGATTAGTTTATATTGGTCTTAATATAAATCCAATGATGTATTACAGATGCCAGGGTTATAGTCCTGCAATACTTGACACCATCCTCCTCATTTTCAAAACACACGAACATCTCAGTTGTCTTTTGCCCAGATTTTTGATTGTGTTGATTATTGATTATATTTGACAGCATGTTAACTATATTGAGATGATCTTTTAACCTCTAGTGATTCTGAACATGTTCTAAACTCTTGTCTTCTGCTTTATAAATGTTTAGTATGCCTGCTTTATTGTTGAGTTAGATTATGAACTTGATTTTATTAGCCACTAGGAGCATTTTAAAAAAGATTGAAATGCAGCTTGGAAATGCTGAGATCACAACCAATCAATAAAAATTCAGATGACAACCTGGTTGGTTGTCATCTGGGTGGTTGGTGAGACCATACATGTAACCAAGATGAGCGTTATTCCACCCTGATGGAAAGTGGGGTATTTAGAGTTAAGGTTTCCATAGTAACCTTGCCTTTAGCCACTTACATGTGAAACTGGGCTTCCATCAAATTGAAGTAATTTGAAGACAGAAGTGGGTCAAAGGCCTTTAATTACATTTCTGTGTTATGTTACCTTTAGGAAGTGTGTGTACATAAAAGTTTTGCTCTAATGGCTGTACTCTTCAAAAGTTCAAGGTAATTAGTTTTGCCCTTTTCTGCCTTTTTTAAATCCCTGGTACCAGAAATCAACTGTGTTAAAACTAAAGCACTTGGTTTTTTGGATCTATTACACTGCAATACCACTTTTAGGGACTTAAATTTCATTGAATTCTCTGATACAATCTTTAGAATCAATATGTTTTGGATTGGATTGTTCAACTGACTGTAGTCAGGGAGATTAACGACTCATATAAAAAACTGAGTGATGCACTCAGAGGCCTCTTACAAGGTTCTCAGAGAACAATAACAACAACAACAACAACAACAACAACAAGGATGATGATGATGATGATGATGATGATGATGATGATGATGATGATGATGATGATGATGTGCTGCCATGTCAATTCTGATGTATGGTGACCCTTTTCAGGGTTTTCCAGGCAGGAAATATTCAGAAGTAATTTTCCATTCACTTCTTCTGGGGGGCATCTTGGGACTGTACAGTTCACCAAGGGGCCACACAAGCTGCCTCTGCTCACAAGCAGCACAGTGGGGAATCAACTTCTTCTGGGGGGCATCTTGGGACTGTAGAGTTCACCAAGGGGCCACACAAGCTGGCTCTGCTCACAGGGAGCACAGTGGGGAATCAAATTCCCAACCTCTGGTTGCACATACCAGCCCATTAATGCGATTATCATCTGACCAGTGTCATGTGGAATTGCTGACTGTAGGAATTAGACTTTGCAAAAGCCAGCAAATATGACACATATTGCTCTATGAACCAGTCTGATTCCTTGCTTTTCTCAGAGATCTGTGGGAAATGTAGTTCTGTGAGTGTGTGGAGAATTCTTTCTGTAACTAGCCCTGAAATATAGGCTTGGACCATTTTTTCTGCCTGAGGGAAAGAGTAGGGTGGACTTCTTCACGCTATGCACAGAAGCCAACTGAACTAGCAGTTGAATCTTATTTCAATATTTCAGCAAGATAAAGCCTTCTAACATATTTGAGGGCAGCAGCCTAGAATAGGGAATGCAGGATTGTTTGGTTCTCCAGAAGAGGACAATGTTAGTGAGTTTGGGAGAAATTACAGGCTACTACCTAGCATCTGCCCCCTACTCCCAAGCAGAAGTAGATGGCTCATTTTGCCTAATGGCAGGGCCAGCTCTATTGAAACCCAGATAAAATTATAGCATCCAGGACTCCTCAAGGAGAGATCATAATCATTTACCCAAGATTCTTTTGAAATGATGCTGTTGCTGTGCATCCTATCAAATCCATCTATGCTTGCCCAAGCATTTTCCTCATCACATTTTGATGAAAGGTGTTATTGCTTTATCATTGCTTTGCTGTTTTATTAAATGCCTTGAATTTTGTGATTTGTAACAGTGCAGTATTATAAACCAATTTAGGATATTTATTATAATCCCGTTTATAATTTACAATTGGATTATGCTTATATGCCATCACGTTGCTTCTAGTTTATGGTGATGCAATGAAAACACCCTCCCAAAAGGAGCTATCACCAACAGTCCTTCTCAGATATTGCAATTGAAAGACTGTAGTTCCTTTATTAAGTCAATCCACCTCACATTCAACCTTCCTCTTTTCCTACTGCCTTCTACTTCTCCTAGCACTGACATGTTTTCCACTGAGTTTTTTCTTCTCATACTATACAATAGCTTCAGTTTCACTCATTTTTATCAGTATTTCTATACCGCTTAAGCCCATTCCACTGAGTTTTTTCTTCTCATACTATAATCACAATAGCTTCAGTTTAGCTCATTTTTATCAGTATTTCTATACCGCTTAAGCCCAATAATTTAATGTAGCTCAGATAGATAATGAAGCTTAGATATAGGCTGTGAAATTGCACAGTGCAAATCATGATATTTTTCTACTTACTTTTACCTAGGAATCCATACATGTGTATGTATTCAGTATGAATATTATCTGCCAGTTGCATTAACAATGATAAAAACAGGATAACCATGATAACAGGATAGCTACAAGAAAAGATAACTGCAAAGACTTGTTTTGCAATAAGAATTAATATAGATGCATGATTCTACCATGGCTTTAATAATACCCTATATGAGGTGGTCCATATTTGATATACAATATTATGCAAAGTGATGTACTCACATTGTTATGCCCAAAGAGAACTGGTGTGTGTGTGGGGGGGAACGGGGGAGAATGCAAGAAACTCATTTGAATAAACTTCACCTTAGTAACTACAAGGTTAACACTGAGGACTGCAGATCCTAAAGAGCAGTATTAAGGCTGAAAGAACTGGGCATGTTTAGCCTTGAGAAAAGAAGACTGAGGGGTGATATGATAGCACTTTTCAAATATTTGAAAGGGTGTCATACAAAGGAGGGGCAAGATCTGTTCTCAGTCATCCCAGAGTGCCGGGCACGCAACAATGGGCTCTAGTTAAAGGAAGCCAGATTTCAGTTGAATATCAGGAAAAACCTCCTAACTGTTAGAGCAGTACGACAGTAGAAAAACTTAGATAATCACCTGGCAGATATGCTTTGATTGTATTCCTGCGTTGAGCAGGGAGTCAGACTTGATGGCCTTGTAGGCCCCTTCCAAATTCAAGTTTCTATTATTCTATGATTACAGTACTAGAAATCAAGTACTAGCAAAACTTTTGTACACAGCTTTTTACCCTGTTGTCAATTACTTGTCAAAGATTTTACTGTTTACCCCAAGTCCTCTAAAAACAAGTCATGCTCTTTTATAGCTTCCTGCACAAAAACAAACATCAAAGTTGTGACTTGTAACTATTAGCACCCTGTAAGCACTTCTTCTGCTCAAAGTTAATCACTGCTTAGCTGTTTTCAATTTCCATAGCAAGATCAAACATATAACAAGAGTGCAAAGTAAACATTACAACAAACAAAGGAATGCACAATAGTTTGGCCTAAATTAGAAGGAATTATGCATGCATACATATATTTGGCATCATCATAATAATTTCTTCATTTTATCTCAGCTGTTCAATGATCTATGAATCTGCATTTTTCCACTTCTGAAGACGTTTTCAGGCAATTCAGATTATGAGACCTAAAAGAAGCTGCTTTTGCTTTCCCTGTTAGTAATCTAAAATTAGTTGGAAAACTTGCCTTGCAGGCTGTGATTTAGCACGAATGCAGATGCAAACTGAAATCCACAGTCAGCATACCCCATTAATTAGAATGGAAAATTCCACTGGCTTTCCATAGTAAGTAGTTTAAACATTGTTGCTATATATCACAACGCTAGATGCAATCTTTAAAAATGCAGTCTTAGCAACACTAGATGCAATCTTTAAAAAAAGCATGCTAAGGCCCTATCTTATCCCATTGGATTAAAGAATATAACTAAATTTAAAATTTCATTAATTTCAATAGGAATCAAACATACTACCTTTCTTTGGATCACATCTTTTATGTGTAGAAAAACTCTACTGATTTTAACATATCAAAGAGTAGACTTTGGATTGGAGAGCCCAGCTTTGCTTGCAAGTACACTGGATGCAGATCTTATGAATTCCCATGGAAAATCACACAGTGTATTTCCAGTAAATAAGCAGTTGAAATGGATGGTGCTTTTTTTAAAAAAGCCATCCTATCTTATTCTGAGCCATTTCACTTGCCTTTATTACAGGGAAATAATCATTGCAAGGAAAGCAACCAATCAAATGTGTAGGAAGGTACAAGCATAAGAAGAGCATATGCTTGAAGTTTGCCCATGTGCTCCAACCCTAATGAAACCCTTCATGGAGAAGAGTTACTTGCACTGCTTTGTTGAGCTCCCAACAAAATGATGTAATGCCTCCAGAACATATGATTACCTTGTCTTTCCCTTCCCAAAGCATGCCTCCCAAGACATGTCCCTGAGTATGACCTGAATCCACCTTTTCCATCTTTGAACCACCATCCGATGCTGGACGTGGGGTGCAGGGAAAAAAGCGTTTTGCACCCCGTTACAGATTCCAAGACTGACAAACGCCTCGGCCAATTTTCTGCGGGTACCAATCTCAGTGGGGAGGGAAGTTTTACGCCCGATGGTTCTTGAAAAGTTCAGGTTCCCTTGCCCCTCAAATCGACCAGGGGATTTGGAAAGAGGGCTGAGAGCAGTCTATATACACCTCGAGCATGCAGCAGATCCATAAAGCACGAAGCATGCAAGCTGGAGAGGGAAGCTTGCGGGGTTGGAAGGAAGGGGTGGAGGGAAGGGGGGCAGCGTGGAAGAACGGGAAGTTAGCGCACGCACGGCGAACACGCACCATCACCATCAAGAGTTAAAGAGAGAGAGTGAAATGGCTTAACGTACACACACCCCGCTCCATACCGGAGAAGAGTCTCCCAGTTGGGTCCCGCGTTCCGCGTTGGCCAGGACCAGGCTGAAGCTCACGGCCCCCACCGTCACGCTGGAGACCCCCAGCCCTATCTCCAGCACAGAGAGCACCAGGAGGCTCCCGATGATCTGGCCGCTGGTGCACATCCTCGCTCGGTCATTGTTCCTCTACCCGATCAGCTCCGGAAGCAACGCATTCGCTTTCTCCCAGACGGGGGGTGCGGGGGTGGGGGAGGGGAGGGACTGGTCTCTTCCCCCCCCCTCCGAGGCAAACTTTTGCCTTTCCCCAGCAACCAGCCAGGCGTCACCTCCACACAACCGAGAGAAGGCCGGCGGGGGCGAGGGTGGCTGGGTGGACTCCAAATAAAACCGAGCTGCTGGCTTGAAGATCACCCCAATCGGAGGTGCTGAGAAGCCCCAGCTTGGATCATCATCTTCGGCTGATCAATGTTTTCAGGCTGGATTTCTCTCGCGCGCGATCCCTACGCATCTCCAGCCAGATCCTCTACCCGCGCGCCCTTCATGCCGCCCGGTTTAGGAGGAACGGCCGACGCGCAGAGCCCCACCAGGGAAACCTCGGCGAGGAGCTGTCCGGGGTGCTGAAGCTGAAGCTTTTCCGAAGGCGCTCCGGCTCCAGACGCTTTCCCTGATCACCCGATTCTCTGAAGAGCCGGTGGTGGCCTCATCGATCTGGTTCGGCCACGCGCGTGTTGGGGTTGTGCGTTTCTCTCCTCCTCCCTCCCCGTCCTTCCCTCTCAACCAACGCTGTAATAACGTCTCTCCCTCTCCCTCGCTGCTCTCCTTGAGGCTGGCGAAGGCGGATTAAATTCAGCACCACGCTCCTCTCGCGCCCGGCTGGTGTCTTCTTCGCCCAGGCAAGCGAGAGTGAGCAAGCAAGCAAGAGGGAGACGCTGACCTTGTCTGATCGCCTCCTTCCCTCTCTTTGGAGTGACCTCGCCAAGAGTTGGCTGGAAAGAGGGGCCGCCCAAAGGGAAAACCCAACCCCACTGAAAAGACTTGTGCACAACCCGCAGAGATAGAAACGGGAGTTCACACCAGCCTCTCTACCACGGGCCCAACACGCACCACGTTGGCACTGAGGCGCCTCCCTGTCTTTATAGATCCTCCCTACCAGGTGCAAACTGGAAATTCCTTGAGTCTCTTGGGTGGGAAAAGATGGCACATGGGAGGAAATCGGAGACTATAGACATGCTTTCTGGACCCACTCGCCTGTTTTGTTCTTGACTTTTTGATAACAAATAACTGGAAGCAAGCTTTGGGGTTAAATGAATTCTTCTCTTCTGGTTTATGTCTTGACAATAATAAACATACTGAACAAGAAAAATGATTTTTAAAAATAATACAGCCTCTGTTTGGTGTCTGGAGGTCTTTAAAATAAAGGATTAGAAATATTTGAAGAAAATTTGAGAAAGGGGAAACAAGAAAGAAAGAAAAAGAGGAAGGGAGAGAGAGAGAGAGTGAACAAGGGAAGGCAAGACCTGGCAAGGAAGGCCTGTTTTGAGATGTTTCCATGTACAAGTGTGGGCTGTGTTGTTTTTTCTCTGACCAGCAGCTGGAGCCACTTTGCCAAATTGGTAATCCCAGGGTTTGCTGTGGTTCTTCTTTCATAAAATTCTGACTTCCTGGCAAAAATAAAAATAAAAAGAGGGTTAATTCTTTGACACCGAAGGGGCTCAGGTGTTCTCTTCCCAAGAGCTGTTTCATGACCAGGTTGGTGGAGACATGTAGGTAAAGACCAGTATCACTTTTAACTTGGGGGATTCCTTTCCCCAGCAATCATGGTAATTGTTGGGAACAATCATTAGCACTTCCTTGGGGTAAGGTTGGTATTCCTAAGGAAATGATCACAGGACCAACAGGCTTGAGAAGTATTTCTCATCTAACATCACAAACTGGTGTTGAGAGTATGCATGAGATTTTCAGGTGGTTCTTTCTCCCCTATTACAAGTACTGTAACAGAATTCAGCAGGCCTTCTCCCAGCTAGAACCTGTGGTAGGTTTAGCCAAAACAAACAAACAAAAAATCCAAGTTCTCAAAGAAGTTTAAAGATCTTCACCTGTTCCTTGCTAATGCTCTTTCTGCAGATGGCGATTAAAGCATGGACATGGGTTGAGCTTTCTAAGCTCCATGGGTACTGCAAAGTAAGTTCTCAAAGAAGTTTAAAGATCTTCACCTGTTCCTTGCTAATACTCTTTCTGCAGATGGCTATTAAAGCATGGACATGAGTTGAGCTTTCTAAGTTCCATGGGAACTGCAAAGCGTTAGGAACAGTGGTTTCTATGTTCATTAAACTCGATAGATGGCATGTCTCAAAAAACTACAGTCCCCTAATGTTTTACAGTTCCCATGGAGCTTAGAAAGCACCATCCATGTCTTTTTAATGGCTAGTGCTGCAGGCAGAGCCTTGGCAGAGAACACGTGTGTATCCTGAAACTCCTCTGAGAACCTGGATTTTTTTTGTTGTTGTTCAAGCTACCAAAACTCTAGCTGGGGAAATTCCTGATGAATTCTAATAGTTGTAGTGGGGGGGAAATTCCAAAACTCCCATATCTGGTTGAGAGCATTGTTGTTGTTGTTGTTGTTGTTGTTCAAGCTATCAAAACTCTAGCTGGGGAAATTTCTGATGAATTCTAATAGCTGTAGTGGGGAAAAAAAAATCCAAAACTCCCATATCTGGTTGAGAGCACCAGTTTCAAAATGTATATAGATACTGTTTTAGCTAATTCAGACCAAGACTGACTTTTTTTTTGTAAAACAATGTTCTTCCCCCACTATCTGACACCTTTTTCTCACTGGCATACGATACCTCCTGTGCACGTTTTGCTGAAATTTTTCTTTGCCAGGAAGCAAATACATACACCTCAGGGCATGATCTGAGTATATGAGGCAACGGGCAAGGTCTGTGACTGCTCACTACCTAGATGAGAGACAACCTTAATGTCCTATGCATGATTTATTGAGTTCTATGATGGCGGAAAGGCTAGTTATAAATGTAATGAAATAAATGAATAGTGGCATATGATCTGAGTATATGAGGCAATGGCCAAGGTCTGTGTCTGCTCACTACCTAGATGAGAGACCACCTTAATGTCCTATGCATGATTTATTGAGTTCCATGATGGCGGAAAGGTGAGTTATAAATGTAATGAAATAATAGTGGCACGCTTGGTACAGTGAACCCTGGCTCCTGTGATTGTCTCTTTAGGTATACCTGCCTATCTGAAGCTAGTGCTAGCAGTTGTTCCCATCAGTGACTATGAAAGCCGGCAAAATGAAGAATATCTTCAAAATCAAGACAGATACTGGACTCTATGTACATGTGCCCACTGATCTGATCATTAAAAAGCTGTTGTGTAAAGAATGCGTCACTGCAACTCCCAGAAGCCTTCACCACCACCTCTGCTGGCCAGGATTTCTGGGAGTTGAAGCCCAAGAACATCTGGAGGCCAAGGTTGGGGACCACTGGTGTAGAGAATACTTCGACTTGAGATGGTGTGATAGATTTAGTCGCTACAAATTTTGCCAGGAATCTCATTACAGAAGAACTCATGTTTCTGCAATGTTTGTTGCAATGTTCAGATACTGTGGATTGATGTTGTGTGTTTTGCAACATGGTGGGCTAGCTTCAGTAAGCATGCTGGGACATCTACTGGAGAAAAAAAACAACTTGCTGTGTGAACTGGTAGATTTGCCCCTCATTGTTCTAGTACTGAAGGAATAAATGAGGGATGATGGATGTGAGGCAACCTCTGTGGCCCAAGGAGGTTAAATCAAAGCAAAAGGAACAGTAGAAAGGACCAATAGGCTGGTTCTGATGCACACACGACTTAATCCAGGGATGAGGAACTTTTGATGCTCTAGATCTCCTCACCAACAACTCTCATCAGCTCCACCCATGGCCACCAAATGGTAAGATGGGCCATAACTCTTCTTATAGCCCTTCCCAAGTTTTAAGCTCTTGAGAAGAGGACCTTCTCTTAGTTTTGCCACTCTCCCAAGCAAGTCTGGTGAGGGCACAAGGTAGGCCCTTTGAGGATCTGTTCCCAGTCTATGGAACTCCCTACCAAGGTGACTCTGTGACCTTCTAGATGCTCCATCAGCCCTAGAGCTCATAAATGTTACTTTTTCAGACTAGAACTCCGAGAGGCCTCCAGCAAGCAGAGCTGTAGTTCAGAAAAGGTAACATTTCTAGGAACTGACCAGCACTAGCATGAAAATAGACAGGAGATTTACCCAAATTGGACTCTGCTGGAAAGGATACCACTATCAAGTTATACCTAGAACTGTTGGAACAAAGGAACACACAATGGCTGACATCCTATTAATTTTAAAGGGAGAAATAAGCACTCACACTTTCACTTTGTTTCCGCCCACTGAAATAAATGGAAATATTGAACTTTGGCTGACGCATGTCAATTGCTTCCTTAAAGACAAAGAACTGAAAGTAGTTTGCTATAAAGAGGAACAAGCTCAATTTGTACTGCACAGACACTGTCCCTAGTTTGTATGAGTTTCATACAGCGAAACTATATTGCGTAAAAATTAAATTGCCTCCTTGCTGCTTTTCAGACTGGTGGTTTTGGCTAGTTGCTATTACCACTTTTTTTTAAAAAAAAAATCAAAGCATAGCATAAATGCACATGAAAAATTATATTGATTTATAAGGGGGTAGTTTTAAATCACATATGGATGTGATGTGATACAGTTCTTCTGCGGCAGGAAGTTTCCTACGATAATCTATGGGTAAAACACGCTTTGCTATGAAAGTTATTTTCTTTATAAAATATTTTTGAAGCATAAATATGGGAGAAATTAAGGTACAGGGTAGATGTTCCCCCACTTTGCCTCCTTGGTATAGGCTGGACTCTATGATCTAAAGGGTCCCTTCCATCTCTCCAGTTCTAAGATGATTATAAGTTCTTCCTTCTTGTCTCACAAGCAATGCCTATGCATGAGCCTCCTTGTCAGAGAGGAGCTACAGGCTCTAGCAACCAAATGTAGTGAGGAATAATGTTATGGATGAGGAACAATGAGGAATAATGTTATGGATTATTATTATTTTTCCCCAAAATACACAGTCATTAAGTTTCAGGGTGAAGAAAAAAAATTGAAAATATGTGGTCTGCATGGTGATGAGACAACTCAGGCTTGAAAAGTTCCCTTGATTACAGTGTCCACTAAGAGGGAATCCAGCCAACAGGCACTTCACTGCTTTTCCATCACCTGATAGTACTATAAAGTTATCTGTGTTGATTTCAAAGGAGATGTGGAATAGTCACTAAATAGTTTGATCTTCTGGAGGGTAGCCACGTTAGAAGGAATGGGAGGATTTATCTCACCTTTTGCTCCCATGCTGTAGCCCCCACATCACTTGCATCTTCCAACTTTACCACCGGAGCCAAACTACATATTACAGATTGCATGTTATAAAAAGCAAAAATCATGTTAAAGTTCAAGGCATGATTCCAGCAGACCTTCATGATTGGGCAGTTGAACATGCAAACAAAATCTGTGCTTAGCTTGCAGTGACCAATCACAAAACAAAGCAGAATAATTGACAAATAAGAAGAGATGTGCAACGCTCCTGCTGTGGCAATCAGACATATTTCCAGCACTTAAGGAATTCCCTCTTCTAATGATGCCATATCTACAATGTACAGTTTGACCCTAAGAGGCCCTATAGTCCAAAAGAACTGTACTGTTCTAACTTGCCCTACTAATTCCATCTCCCTTCCCTACCTGCCCACACCTTGCCTTCATAAGCCCATCAGCTCTTTATAATGTTCTGTGACATAACAAAAATGGAGTCAGGGTATCAAAAAGGACTTCTATGGGGAGGGGGTCTGAAAGTTAAGAGTTTAGTGCTGCTTGCTGTGCTCCATCCCCATAAAACCAGGAAGCACCTGGCACTGAACAGTGGATCACTTGGAAACACATAAATACAACACAAATTGTGATCCTGAGTGCATAACACAAGTATCCTATTTGGGGTGGGGTCAAAGTAAGTAAAAAAGTGTGCTGTTTTTTATGAGTAAGAATAAGAGAGAGAAGAGAAATGCCCCAGTCAGAAATTCTACATGTAAAGCTGTAATCATAGCTAGCAAACTGCTCCAAACCCTGGGACTCTGGGAGCAACTTCAGTCAGAAACAAAGCCAATAAGCTCAGCTGTTGAAGGCTTAGCTGCTCAGAGCTGGATCAGTATCCTGGCAGAGGCGGATA